TCCCTAAACCTGTAAGACACATCAGCTGTTTGTTGGAAAGGGTTGGCAAGGGGATTAGAAACACAAAGGAAGAGAGTGAGAAAGCCACAGGTGTGATCAGGAGGGGCTAAAAACTAGCCCCTCTATTAATCTGTAGCTGGAAAAAGAGATAAAATCTGGACCAAAAATGTAAGGCCCCCTTTAGGTTCAATGGACCGAATGATGTATTCATATACTTTTTATTATGCCACTTCTGAAACATGTGCTGCACATACGCAAAGTGGTTTGATTCTGGGTTTGATTCGGGGCATGAACGCCACGTGCCCCTGGAGGCTGGGGGGATATGGCGAGTTCCCACAGGTGGCAGCAGTGGTGTTGGCGGTGGGAGCATGGTGGCAGCAAGCGGTAAGTGGTAAGCTCCCACAGGTGGCCACAGCAGTTTTGGCGAGGTGGGGTTGATGAGTGCCGACTAGTGGTCAGCGACCGCCTACAGGTGCCGCTGGCAGTGTTGGCAGTGGCCAGTGGTGATCACCCGCAGATGCTGCTGGCAGCATTGGCAGTGGCCAGTGATGAGTGGGGACCGCCTGCAGATGCTGCCGGCAGTGTTGGCAGCAAGGGGGTGGGGCGTGGTGAGTGGTGACTGCCTGCAGGTGCTGCTAGCAGCATTGGTGGTGCTTTTTGCACCACCAAGCTCAGGGGGTGCATGTGCGGCCGTGTGCACCCTCTATGCATCACCAATGATTCAGGGTTTGATTCTGCTGCTAGTGTAATGAATATCTAGCCCTTTACTGAATTCTAAGCATGCAGATTTCGACTCTAAATTTGTGTCTGCTACTTGGTCATATGTGGCCATATAGTTGAGTGAATGTAAGCACATCCACAGTTATTTTATGGACTAGAAAAGTGACCAAAACCTTTTTGCGTGCAAGATGAGGCTATCAGCATGGGTCCAGAGATCTTAAGCCCATTTCCAGTTCATTTTAACAGAATTGTACATCCAAATCCCTGAGGTGACTTTGAACACAAATAGTAGTTCTGTTCCTTTTTCTGTTCTTTTTTTTTTCGTGAGTTGGGTTCTCTTTGGGCAATGTAAATTAGTCTTGTAAATACAGTACTTTATTCTTCGGCTGATATGCTGTACTAATTGCTATACTAAGTAGAAACGTTTCTCAAGTAAGAATCACAGAGTTCAAGGACCTTGTTGCACATTACACTTTGCATGTGTTAAACAGTTAAAATGAGCATCTATGCATTCAAGAAGGAAAACACGTGTCAGGTGCACTTCTGGTATTGTAGAGTTACACCTTGTCACATGAGGTATATCTCCTGTGTTAAGTGAATTGTGTTATGTTGTCATCTGATCATTCCACAGCAATAATTCAGGCCACTTCTGGTCCTCCAGTATCTCAAAGCATGAATGCTGTGTGCCCCAGGAGGCTGCTCCCAGCCCCCTAGTGTCATTGACAATGTATTTACTTTTTAGCACTCTACCGTCAAAGCGGTGCTACCACTGGCCCTAAACTGACTCCTCCATGCACTCCTGGGGCGTGACCCTGCTCCTACATCACTGCTCCAGGACAGGCATAGACAGAGACTTTAAACTAGCTGAGGCTGCTTTGAAGCCCTGGCACAGCTGCAGGAAGGTGCAGGGCAGAGAATGCCCTGGCCTGGATAGTTTTGTGCTTGGAGCACTGGACAGGAGCAGTGAGGACCAGTGCAGGGATAGGGGAGAGGAACAACATCCCAGCAGCGTGGCTGTGCATTGCCTCAATTCCGACAAGAGGCACTTGTCTGGGTCTGGAGAGTGAGGGGTTTGTGTGTGTGAGTGCAACTGGCATCCCAAGGCTGCCTGAGCTGAGTAGGGAGATCTGCAGCTCCACAGCTTCCACTGCTGCACCAGCCCCACTAGCTGCTTCCCCTGCCCCTCGCCCAGAAAACCAGTGCAAATAAATGCATTCTGTGTGAAGCCTCTTCAGGTGCAGCCTGGTGAGATGGGCAGGCAGGGCTGTAGGAGTCCTAGTACCACTTGCCTCTGTAGGCTTCTCCTTCCTAATCTGTTCCATCAAGTGGTTCTGCATGTTTGTGCAGCTCAGTTAATTGCCTGGACACTGGGTATGGCGGGGATGAAGACATTGTAATAGTAGAGTGGAAACCCTTGAGCTAGGTCCCCTGACTGACACCCCAGTCTGGCCAGTAGCCAAAAAGCAGCAAAGGTTCCTGGGAAATACAGTCTGCAGCATGGCTGCTCCCAGCATGACGACTAGGATGCTACTCACTAGCTCTCTAGTGGCAAGTTAGAGCTGTGCAGGTCAGAGGTCATCAGAGCTGTGATTGGTCATAGTTTGTACTGACTTTAATACCATATAATTCCACAGAATTAGCACATGCAAACTGTAATGTGCATCAAGCCTCAAGGATGTGCTTTAAAACACACTTTGGGTAAAGCACAATTCAGGTCAAAAGGCAAAAGGTATACCTGGGCCTACCAGTGCACTTGGGCTGGTGTGGTGAAGTCTTTCATTTCTCTGGCCAGTTTTCCATAGCCAGTGATACACAGAGGAGAGAAGTACCTAGTGTTGCATACAGCTACCTTTTGACTTCCCAACCTGAATGAGTAGGT